GGCCGTGCCCCTGCAGTCCCCGAAGTGCCCATTGTCCCCGAGGACACCTTCTTTCTTACAGCGCCCCCACGTGGACCGGGCCGGCCCGTGCAAGCAGCGGGTGGGAGCAGAGAGGCAGGCTTACCGGGGAAGACCTGTCTGCCTAGACCTCACAGCAGGTGCCAGGCCAAGGCCTCTGCCTCTGTGAAAGGCACGGGGCACCGAGGCAGTCAGTGGGGCTGGAGGAAAGAGCGGCCTGGTGTGCAGGACCTGGGCTCGTGTGGATTGTCCCCTGGGCCACTTTGAGCCTCAGCCTGCCGCTCTGTGCCGGGCACTTAGGAGGTGCGCAGTAAGCATGAGCTGAACACAGGACTAAAAGGAAGCTACAAGGGGGTAGGAATCACGCCCCGTGTCCTGCCCGCCTTGCTGGTCACCCGGCAGGCTCCCCGGTCACGTGAGTGGCTGTTGTTATTCATAGCAATCCCGTCAGAATGAGCCCGGGCTGCCACACGCGTGGTCATCCACGAGGGGCAGCCGTGAGCACTCGGCAGTCTGCACAGCATTCACGCACGCCCACCGCATCCACTTGATCTCCAAGGCCAGCCCCGAGGGGATGGCGGCATTGCTCCTCACCAGGGGGGACAAAGGCCCAGAGAGGCTGGCCGGCAAGTTGCAGGTGACTCGGCCGCGTGCAGGAGGCTCTGGGGCCAGGAGGATGAGTCCTGGCTTTGGAAAGACCCAGCTGTGGTCTTTCAGCCTCCCTGAGCTCAGTTCCTCACCTTTGAAATGGGCGGTGAGATCCTCGCTGGTGGCATCCTGTAGATGGTCAGCGGGGCTGGACTTCGGGGTCATTGCTGTTTTGAGGCAGGGCCCGGTGCGCACGCGCTCCAGCAGCTCAGGCCCCTGGTCCCCACGTAACCTGGTCACCAGGCGGCCTGACTAATCCTCGTGACCTCCGACCATCTTCCACCCCCTCCCCACGTAGGCTTTGTCCATTAACCCGACAGACGCATGGTCGGTGCACACCATCGCCCATATTCACGAGATGAAAGCAGAAATCAAGGATGGATTGGAATTTATGCAGCACTCAGAAACCCACTGGAAGGTACGATTCCTGTCGATGGGCCATCTGCCTGGAAAATTCCGCCCATCCCCTTGGGTTAAGGCTTTAAGGACAGAAGTTACAGGCTGCAGCTTAGTTCTGGGGGAGCTGGGTTGTGTGGAGCCGCAGTGTCCCCAGGGACCCACAGGGCTCCCCGAAACCTGCTGGTGTTTTGCAGGTGATTCTAGAAGATTCTAGGATCTAGAATCTAGAAGATTCTAGAAGTTTTGGGCTGGGGCATTTGGTGTAAAGGAACGGGTCAGAAAATGACCGAGGACACAAGAGCCTGGCACGGGGGAGAACTGTAAGAACCCTGAGCTGTGTCTTACCACCAGCCGGCTGGCTCAGCATGGAACCCACGGGTGGGCTCGGGGAGCACGCGGCGCAGCCAGGGGCCGATGGGGCAATGATGTGCAGTCGGCTCCCCTAGGCAGATACCGATAGTGTTTGTGAGAGTGCTGAGTCTAGGGAAGGAGGAGCAGCTGTGTGGCCATATCCTCTGGGCTGAGGGCCAGGGGCTTGCCCAGGCAGAACCGAGGGAGGCCAGGGAAGGCTTGGGCCAGGGCCTTCCAGCACATTCCATTCACATCCCTCCCCCAGACGCTGCGATTTTACTGGGTGTTGGGTGTTGGAGGCCTGGCTGGACCCTAGGGCAAGAAAGTGACCCTCTGAGCCTCGGTTTCCTCGTCTGTATACCTGCTGTTGTAACAACTGGGAAGCCCCCAAATGAGTTCTCCTTGGTGTTGGTTGAAGACATGTGTAAAATGAGGCAGCCCAGTCTGGCCGGGTAACGCTTGCATCTGTCCCCTGCTGTGGCTCCTGGCAGCCTCTGGCCTCGCAGGACAGTCTTGCTTTAGATAGTGTGGCCTGGGACTCCCTTTCCTCCTCCTCCTGCCCCAGACTGGAGCTCAGTCAAGATCCTACCCTGGGGACCCCACGGAGAGTCCAGCCCAGACTTCTCTGTCCTCAAAAGGCCTGATCACGTGGAGTGAACAGCTTCCCAGCAGCCCATGAACCACACCATGATAGGGACACTCTTAGGGATGTGGAAACTCAGAGGAGGCATCCAACCCCCCTGGACTTGAGGGTGAGGTGGTCATGGAAGGCTTCCTGGAGGAGGCAGCCCCTGAGCTGGGTATTGAAGGGTGGCTAGGAGTTTGCTAGGTGATAGATGGGGAGGTGGAGGGTATTCCAGCCAGACTGAGCAAAGACACTGAGGCCTGCAGGGGCCTATGAGGAAGAGGGGACACAGGCAGCCTAGGTGTCATCAAGCAGACGTGGGCCTTGGAGAAGGTGTTGTCAGTTCCTCTTTCCAGGAGGTAGAAGGTGGTGTCCAGGTAGAGGAGGAAGTGTTCGCGGTAGCCTCACAGAAGGAAGGGTTAGTGCTCACGATGGGGCCTGCAGACTGCCAGTCGTCAGCCACACCCCCCCTTCCTTGCCGGCCTCGCCAGTTCCTGAGGGGAGTCCAGCCCTGGGCTCATTGATCCTCGCGGCTTTATTGGGATTTGGACACCCCGGGGGCCTCGGCACCTGTTTGTGGGTCCATCGCTCATTTTCTTGAGGCTTGAGGAGCAGGGTGACCTCCGTGTCAACCGTCCTCAGAGCTGACGGGGACGTCGGGGCACAGAGGTGCCCGGCACAGGCCGGCCTCAGCATGGGTGCCAGGGAACGTTTCCCGCACTAAAGGTCAGGGGACGGTCCTGCACTGTCACAAAACCACAGCTGGTATTTTTTTTCCCACAGGCTGTCAGATTTTTCTCTAATTCTCTCATTTCCCCCCCCCCCCAGGACTCTGATATGCTTGCTTGTCATAATTATTGGCACTGGGCTCTGTATCTGATTGAGAAGGTAAGCTGGTTAGCTGTCTTATTCTACAAAGATGTCCAGAGAAATAAATATTTGTCTACCTTTTGCTGATTCCCCGGGATAACAGTTTGGGTTTGCACGTTTAAATGGTGTCTGGTGTAACAGAGCATTAAGGTTTTCAAATAGCTCTTCAGGCTTAAACTACGTTAGGTGTTTTTCGCTGTGTGGACGCGGAAGCCGTGTAAGCCGCATGTAATTTGTGG